TCTTTGATGGTACATTGGAGCACATGCCTGATGAATCCAACAAAACAGGCACATAGCATGGAGTACATCTGGATTTTTACTAGGACACACACGTACGATATTTAAAAGCCAACAAAAAAAAGAAAAAGAACACAAGACAAAGGCATGCCCGGGAGGCAAGATTATAAGTTTAAGGTCATGATCGGCACACTGTGAAACTACACAATCATGTATGTACAACTTCGCATATTATTGGTACTACTACAGTAGGTATCGGTTATAGTAGGCCTTGACGGATTATGCTAGCATAATTTTTCGCATAATTCCTACCAAAATCGAATAATCGCACACATGTAATTCGAGGCAAATTGCATACGAATCGCATAAATTGGAATAATCCGCCTGTTCGCATCAAATTCCATACAGTTTTACATGTTCTACAAGTACAAGTACAAGTTGATGCACCAGGAAGTCGTAGGTTTACGACTCCCTTAACACCATGTCCAGTCCACTACATTCAGTGACGGTCGTAGCTAGGTCGGACGGTGCGTTGAACTTTTGCTACTACAGTACAGCGCCCTCTACAAAAAATTCCCCTGTTGTTTCGCACAGAACCATCATATACATAAGCAGCATATGTGAGCATAATGCGGCATAATAATGTATAACTTTTAGCATAATTCTGCAATTTTTTTAGCAATGCGAAAAGCATAATTTCACGAAAATATTAGCATAATCCGTCAAGGCCTAGGTTATAGCGTGGGTGTTTGAAAAACGACATTTGATTCTTATTGCCGATATTTCTTACACACGATAAATCACGTGTGACATATCATATGCACGTGTGACATCATACATGTACATGTACATGTACATGACTTGTACATGTATGCGCGCACGTAACTCGTTTGGCATGTGGACACGTACACATGATACACGTACACACGGATCAATCAGACTCGCGGTCGTGCTAGGCGACTGCGGAGCAGCGGATACGAGAGAAGTCGGAAGAAAGAGTCCGACTGGACAGAAAAAGTGATTCTCCAATGCTCCCTTGGACATAACTCTCTTTTTGTGCTGAATATTATTGTATTGAGTATGCACAGAGCACAGATGTTATTACTACAGGCGATACACTTTGCACTAATCTGGCATATTTTGCTACACAAAATCCATTCTTAGGGCCGATATATTCTACTATGCGATAATACTGCTTGTAAGAATAAATATACACATAAAATATGTGTTATGATTATGAAAAAATGAGTGTTCATTCTTGTAAGCAGTATATTCTTGTATACGACCACACTATAACCGATACGCACTGTACTTTCTTGTTTTTTTTTCCAGTCTGAGGCAAAAAGGTACGCGGGCGCGGACGTTAAACAACGAAAAAAGAAAGGGTGGCCTAACGAATATTCGTAAAACGTGAGGTTGCGCGCAACGTGTGAACGTTTTCGCAGCAGGTCGACACGGCAGCGTTATCACAGGTGTGAAGAGTCAAGACACTTGGATCACTATCAGTACTCGTAGATCTAGTAGATCTACTAGTGGTGGCCTGCGGATGCGAAGGCTAGTTTGTGTGTTTCTGAACATTCAACTTTCAAGCGTGGCCGACGCGGATCCCGCGAATATTATTATTATCAGGGAGTCGTCGATGATGGCATACGACTCCCTGATAATAATTATTATTATTGTAGTACTCCAAGTGACGAAAAATAATTTCGTAGATCTGCTCTGTTTCGGTCGCCTTTGGACGGATCTTCGTAGCAACTTTCGTTACTCGAACCCGGACGGTCAAAATCTTACGAAGTTTCGTTGTGCGCAACCTCTAAAAATGATAGTGCTGTGTCCGCAGCTTCTGTCTTCGCCAATCGCGCTATTAGTATTAGTCCTGATCTCTGCTGCACGCAACGTAACTTCGCACTGACTGTGACAGACTGTGCAATTCAATAGAGAGTTTACGCTTCACAGTTTTTTTCAATTTCGAACGTGAGGTCTCACGGTCGAAATATTTAAAGGCGTTTCTCACATTGTAGATCTACGTGAGATTTCAACGCCACAGGCACAGAGCTAGAGCTCCACTATAGGCCTTGGCGGATAATGCTCGAAAAGGTGGCAGATTCTGCTCGAAAAGCAGTGAAATTGGCAGAACCATACAAACCTTATGGCGGGCAATTCCTCGAATTCTGCTCCATTTCTTTATCCACATACCAAACATGCATGAAACTTACCAGAAAAAGTACCGAATTCTGCCAATTTTTCTGCCGGCATTATCCGCCAAGACCTACTCCACTAGCCTCCAGCTCACAGTGAACAAAGTGATTCAACGCATGTTTTTCTCACTTTCGAAATAATTGAAAGAATGTCCAGCGTAACCTCTCTAATATCAAGACTATGCTCTGGTGTACCTGTGTACGGTCGTCATTGACGCCGAGAGCTAGAGACCCATCCATGCACACAATAGTCATAGTCATTCTATCCAGACTTCGAAACTCACACTCAAGTTCCTGTGAACTTGAACTACACGCGAATAGTAATGATTGTCATGCCGTGTGGAGGCCAAAGGTTCAAGCCTGGTTGTCACTACTCGGCCGATTGCTCGGCTGATTCTCTGACATGACATCGGCCAACCACAGTGCGTCACACTGTACATGCATTCCGGACGAGTTGGACTACTTTCGGGCCACTGCTCGACTCCCCTGAGCATAACGGCTTTTATAGATAACTGAAATGGCGTCCGCCAACAAAGGAAAGATGTTTGACACGAAAAGTTAAAAAAAGCTGTTGGACGAATTCGTCTTTCCAGTCAACTTCCCAGAGATTTTGCGTGCTCCGACGATTTTTGTACCCAGTACTCGAAACCAACTATTTCGAAATGCTAAATGCGGAGCTTCTTTACAATACGCTTTAAAGGGGAAGTATACCCTAAAATCAAATTTTCACCAGTTGTAGTCTTCTGGGTGCTGAGTCGAATGGTCTTGGTCCGAGGAAGCTGAGACGCTCCCTTCCTGCTTGAATCCCAATCGAACTCGCGCACTTCCACCGAAACTGGGTGACTGCGCCCTACTAGAGGGGGATTTGTATGCAAAATGTCACTAAAAGCGCCATTTCGTTCTTATAAAAGCACGGATGACCGCGATTGGCCCATATGTTGTAGTCTTTTGGACGCTGAGTCGACTGGTTTTGGTCCGAAAAGGCTGCGATGCAGCGTTCCTCCTTTATTCCCAATCGAACATGGTTGAACAAGCGGTCACGTGCTCCTGCGTACACCAGTCAGCTGGTCACAACTTACTAGCGTGTTTGACCTTTTTTGGGTGCAGTCTAGTCCTGTCACTCGAGTTGAACTCGAGTTGAACCTTGGTGTGAAAGTAATAGTTGTCGCCTGCTGGCGCGGTGACCAGGTGATTTGGGCACCCAGGAGCACGTGACCGCTTGTTCAACCATGTTCGATTGGGAATAAAGGAGGAACGCTGCATCGCAGCCTTTTCGGACCAAAACTAGTCGACTCAGCGTCCAAAAGACTACAACATATGGGCCAATCGCGGTCATCCGTGCTTTTATAAGAACGAAATGGCGCTTTTAGTGACATTTTGCATACAAATCCCCATCTAGTAGGGCGCAGTCACCCAGTTTCGGTGGAAGTGCGCGAGTTCGATTGGGATTCAAGCAGGAAGGGAGCGTCTCAGCTTCCTCGGACCAAGACCATTCGACTCAGCACCCAGAAGACTACAACTGGTGAAAATTTGATTTTAGGGTATACTTCCCCTTTAAAAAACTCCCTGTATCCGGGCAGTCTGGGACCCAGCACTGCCCGTAGCTACTGTCGTGGACATGGAAATCCGGTCGCACGTCTAGCGGCCCCAGGACGCTGGCCATGCAGCCGTGGGAAAGCAGTACACACACGCGTAGATCTACACGCTGCAGCGCGCGCGCTGGTCGCTTCATATCGGATCAACGGTTACGTGCACTGCATGCTACGTTCTGTCCGCGCTGAGTGAGGGCGCCGGCCCCGGTCAATCGACTGGATTTCCATGTCCACGACAGTAGTAATTGTCCGTAACTACACAGAACTTGCAAACATGACCTTGTACTTACTGCATGCAAGTTAAAAAAGGTATGCCAATCATTACTAGTCGGTTTCGGGGCCGTTTTTCGTTGAATAGCCAATTTTTGTGACGGTGTAGATGAGTCAGAAAGGTGCTCTGTAGACGGAATTGCCCCGGTCAGGGGCTTCAGGATCTGGTGCGTTTTACTGCACACACGCCCCCCCCCGTGCATGTACATGGCTACAGGACTCTATAATAGACTGTAAGCAGTAGTTTCACAGTACAAGTGTAGTCAGATGGTGAGTCAATTCAATCTTGGCAAAATGGTATTCAGTAAAAAAAAAGGAAAAAAAGGAGAAGGGCAGAATGTTACGAGTTATGACTAACTGCCGCACTCGCTGACTGTATATGATCTGGTTACGGTGGTGGACAGTCACTGAAGTAACTCGTAACATTTTGTCCTTCTCCTTTTTCACAGTACTGATTATAATATGTAAAGTCAACTAGGGACCGGCGGATTCTGCTCGGAAGGGTGGCAGATTCTGCTCGGAAAGGTGCCAGATTCTGCTCGAAAAGCAGTGAAATTGGCAGAACCATACAAACCTTATGGCGGGCAATTCCTCCAGTTCTGCTCCATTTTTTATCCATATACCAAACATGCATGGAACTTACCAGAAAAAGTACCGAATTCTGCCAATTTTTCTGCCGGCAGAATCTGCCGGACCCTACAGCCAACTTCGCTAATAACGACTGCGTATATAACGGCAATTCGCGAATAACGACAGAATTTCCATGTCCAGAGCAAAGTCCCATTCAACTGTAATACATATAACTAGACTTCGGGTACAATGACACTCCACGGATAAGGACACTTTTCTGATGCCCCGCCGAGTGTCGTTTTACGCGAAGTTGACTGTAGGCACTTGAACCGTTACTGATGCTGATACAGGCTGCTAGCACCGCTATTGGTCATCAGTTCAAGCTGAGTGGCGGAGGTCCGACTCAACACACCACATAATACAATTGATTCAGCACATTGAAATTTGAAATAATCGTACCACGACACGTATTGAATGTGCCGTCACGCTGCTTAAACTTAGAATAATAATATTATTATTAGAGGTGGGTAAAAACCTTTGGAATCAGGGTATGCCGTGGGAAATACGCATGGCTAATTCCTAGTAGTGTTTTGCTAAAAGAAGAAAGCTCACATGAGCTAATTGTGGCGAGGCGGTGGAAATCTTTTAGCACATAGCCAAGGAGCCTGCTCCTTTTCGTCTACGCCAGGAAGCTGCTCAGAGTGCAGAAAATGTATTCTTAAGCCCATATTGAGATACACGTATATACACCAAGGCAAAATCAAAAGAAGTTGCGTGTTAAGCAGCCTGGCATATCTGTAGCAAATCGCTATATTATCTTGCAAAAATATTCAGCGCAGATCATAATATTTCTTTACAAGCATCTTCAGCTTTCCGTCGTACTTCAGCACGCAGCAGGGAAATGCGGGTGCAACAGGGACACAGAGAACATTGGCTCGCCACATGGAGCAGAGAGGGGGACCCAATGGGGAGGAATATTACGTAATTGCATGTGTGCATCTCTGTGTGTGAGAGTGTGTGTGTGTGTGTATGTGTGTGTGTGTGTGTGTGTGTGTGTGTGTGAGAGAGAGAGAGAGAGAGAGAGAGAGAGAGAGAGAGAGAGAGAGACAGAGAGAGAGACGAGGGAGAGACCGAGAAAGTAAAGGAAACATACCAGAAAGGGGGAGAGAGAGTAACAGAAAGAGGAAAGTGCAGGATCCTCTCAGAGCTTCTCATAGTCACCTCTTGATGGTGCGTCACCTCCACCTCCTCCTTTGCCACATGTGATGACAAACGTGAAGCCACCCTGAGGCAAGAAAAAGGCAAAAGGCAACAGCACAGCAGAATACCCAATGCCCGAACGTCAATCATTTGAAATGCGTTGTCGAACTGAATTCAGGAGTGAAATGAGTCAGTTATGCTCTATTTCGTTATACAGCACCGTAGCATTTGGAAACCTGACAGCAGTCATCTGTCCCCCATGGCTGTATCATGGTGAGCCGGAGTGTGTTGTTCTTCTGCGGTACAGTCAAATCAGAATGAGAGGCGGTAGGAGCATGATGGAGGTGTATGCTTTCAATGGGCGTTGAGTGCCCCCCCCCCCCTTTAGCCAAACATAATAGTTGCCTGAAACCCATAGAGATGGCCTTGTGACTCGAGGTGTGCCAGTAATCCAAAATACTGTAAAAGCAGATATTTTCGGTGGTGTTTCATTTTCGGCAACTTCGGTACCGACAATTATTACCTAAAATAATACGCACCGAGTATTTCGGTACTAGAACCAGTACACTTGCCAGGAAAAACAAAAAAAACAAAAACTGGTTTACCGTAAATTTCCCTTCACCGAACCTCTGATTTCGGAGATTACCGAAAATATTACACCACCGAAAGTTTCTGCTCTTACAGTATCAATGTAGAAGAGAAAAGGACATATGGATACGAGTTAAGAGTAACTCTCCATCACTGTAACATGATACTAGTATCCAGTATTCTAAATGTACTAAATAAAAAATAAAATAGAAATTCACGGTTCGCATGAGACTCGGCTGGACTCCGCATAAATGTACTACTCTATGATATCACCTAAAAGATAGCTACAAGCACTGATAAATGCTTTCGTATATATTGGATGATGCTAGAGAGGTAAAGTTGACTCGCTTCCCAGACACTCTTCGCCCCTATTGTCTACAAACATCAATCCATTGTATTCGTGAATGGACTCGGAAGATTGTGAAGATTGTGAAGTAACTGGTGGTGTTAGTGGACATAGCTGTAAAATCGGAAAGTCTAACGAGTCACAAAGTCTAACTTTTTAAGGACCAATTTTTTTCGTTATTTGAAGAAACGTTATCGCGAGATGTCTGCGTAAAGATGCGCATACAGATGGGTGGCCAGGTAGCCATCGTTAAACTTTCTGCACGTTATCATGCCAAAATTACAAAAATGTTAAACTTTTTGGTTTTACAGTATAGGGTAACTGTTCCTCGGTTTTCGTGAATGCTTGGAATATCCGCATGGATCATGGCATGATTGAAATCGCAATGACATAACAGTGGCATCGTCATTATGTAAGAATGACATCACAACGTTGACTATGAGTAAACCCAGCCATCGCCATCACAGCCTTGCACAAGTCATTTCCTGACGTCATCATGACATCACAATGACATCGCCAAGACACCGCCCAGACTGCATAATGACATAGCAGCTGCACAACGCTCCAGAGAGTCTCCTCACCTTGATGAGATTAGGCAGCGAGGACCAGAAAGAGAAGTTAGGGATTAGCTCAACACCGGTTTTTTGCCGGGCTAATCCATACGCCACTCCAGCAGCCAAGTACGCTGGAACTAAGACAAAGAATCTACAGCGGAAAGCATACAAAAGCACGCGCAACACACACACAATCTACTCAAACGATCCCAAATCTTCACGAGCTGCTAAAAATTGGTGTCGTACTCCACAGGATAACGTGCTAGCAATTCAATGCTGATAGAGATCTGCTCTGGGAACTGTCATAGGTTGGGGTCTTAGAAAAAAACCTTTTGGCTCAGTGTGCAAATCACTGGTAGTAACCCTTATATGGAGCAGCAACTTCCTTACACATGATAATAGAAGAGTACGTACAGTAAAACCTGTGACTAAAGACCACCGTGACTAGCGACCAGCCTGCTACTACAGTAAAACCTGTGACTAAAGACCACCGTGACCAGCGACCAGCCTGCTACTACAGTAAAACCTGTGACTAAAGACCACCGTGACTAGCGACCAGCCTGGTACTACAGTAAAACCTGTAACTAAAGACCACCGTGACTAGCGACCAGCCTGGTACCGTATTTTTCCGGTTGTAACTCGACCTTTTACGACTTAAAATAGAAGGAGAAAGGGTGGGGGTCGACTTACAACCGGGATTCGACTTATAACCGGTAACTATCAGAATCTTCAAAAAAATGACCTGCACTGCATGCACGAGTGCACCATGTTTACACATTTTGCCAGTTTATTGGCCTTTTTCAAGGATTGGGACGTTATATCCTCCAATAAGGAATGTTTACATGATTAGTTGATGTGTTAGTAGCAGGAGGTGGTAAGTAGTGCTTCTTTGGGTGACAACTTTAAAACGCAGAATTGAGACCTCCAGATAGAAGGGTCGACTTATAACCGGGGTCGACTTACAACCGGTAAAATACGGTACTACAGTTAAACCTGTAACTAAAGACAACCGTGACTAGCGACCAGCCTGGTACTACAGTAAAACCTGTAACTAAAGACCACCGTGACTAGCGACCAACCTGGTACTACAGTAAAACCTGTAACTAAAGACCACCGTGACTAGCGACCAACCTGGTGCTACAGTAAAACCTGTAACTAAAGACCACCGTGACTAGCGACCAACCTGGTACTACAGTAAAACCTGTAACTAAAGACCACCGTGACTAGCGACCAGCCTGGTACTACAGTAAAACCTGTAACTAAAGACCACCGTGACTAGCGACCAACCTGGTGCTACAGTAAAACCCCGTAACTAAAGACCACCGTGACTAGCGACCAACCTGGTGCTACAGTAAAACCTGTAACTAAAGACCACCGTGACTAGCGACCAACCTGGTACTACAGTAAAACCTGTAACTAAAGACCACCGTGACTAGCGACCAGCCTGGTACTACAGTAAAACCTGTAACTAAAGACCACCGTGACTAGCGACCAACCTGGTACTACAGTAAAACCTGTAACTAAAGACCACCGTGACTAGCGACCAACCTGGTACTACAGTAAAACCTGTAACTAAAGACCACCGTGACTAGCGACCAACCTGGTGCTACAGTAAAACCTGTAACTAAAGACCACCGTGACTAGCGACCAACCTGGTACTACAGTAAAACCTGTAACTAAAGACCACCGTGACTAGCGACCAGCCTGGTACTTCAGTAAAACCTGTAACTAAAGACCACCGTGACTAGCGACCAGCCTGGTACTACAGTAAAACCTGTAACTAAAGACCACCGTGACTAGCGACCAGCCTGGTACTACAGTAAAACCTGTGACTAAAGACCACCGTGACTAGCGACCAACCTGGTACTACAGTAAAACCTGTAACTAAAGACCACCGTGACTAGCGAGCAGCCTGGTACTACAGTAAAACCTGTGACTAAAGACCACCGTGACTAGCGACCAGCCTGGTACTACAGTAAAACCTGTAACTAAAGACCACCGTGACTAGCGACCAGCCTGGTACTACAGACCACTTCGTCAGGCACGGACGGTCTCACATTCACATATGGTTGTGCGGTGCAAACCTCTAGCTAAGGACCACCTGTCACTAAAGACCGCTTTCTGTGGCCGCAAGGGGTGGTCGGTAATCACAGGCTTTACCCTACTATACACTGCATACCTACAGTAGAGAATGGAGTGACTAAGACCGGCCAGGCTAGAATTTCACAGTACAGAATGGAGTGCCTAAGAGCGCCCAGGCTAGAATTTCACCCAACACAGTATACCAATGTATACACGGTGACTCAACAGTGCATAGACTGTAATACATGAAACTAAGAACGGTCTAGGCTAGGAAGCTGACACCCCCCCCCCCCCCCCCAGTTTTTCGGCGACCGCCAGTACTGTAAGCATTGGAAGGGAGCAGAAGCGGAACATTTGGCTACTGCATGCGCATCATACCTGCCAACCTGTGCAAACCTGAGATCGGGACAATGACATGATGTAGTGTTCACGTGTTCCTACGCGCTGTGGCATTCCTTGGCCACTCCAGACATTCATGATGCATGTAGTAGTAGTAGTACATCGTGAGGTTATGCATGTAGCATGTGCCGTTTCCCGCGCGCGCGCGTGAAACGGACTTCGCGGCTTTTAGTTGCTGTGCATGGTTTGACTCTGGACTCTTGTTGTTTTGGACTGAAGAAGAAACAATACTACATTGGCGCTGCGAGCTATTTCGTTCCTCCGCGGCGAGCATGGGCGACTGACCACCCGCCATTCCGCCCACTGGACCTTTTCCTATTTATGTCTCCCTCTACGATGCCGCCATGCGCTGGCCCGCCTGGACACGGAGTTTCAAACTTTATCTTGCTGCGTCCAAAATTGGCGATGACGACCAACAGCGTGGGCTACTCCAGTACCTGGGAGGAGATGACATCCAGCAACTCGTGCCCAATCTCAGCAACACAGGGGCAACATTCGACGACCTCGCCAAAGCATTGCAGGACGAGTTCGATAAACACCAAAACCAAACGCTCCTCAGGTTCAATTTCCGTCAGCTTCGTCAACAGCCGAACGAGACTATGGAGGGTTTCTGTTGTCGTTTGGGCGACCACGTGAAACGCAGCGGCTTCCCGGATACGGCCGCGGAGAAATTGGCCGTCTTGGACCAGCTGATCATCGGCTGCAAGTCCGACGCCCTTCGGCGAAAACTGCTGGAGATCGATGGCCTCGACTCCGACGGAGCTCTGAAAGCAGCCCGCGCGTATGAGGCCAGCATCACCCATGTACTCGCCATCAAGGACGCCTCTCTGGGCTCTTCAGTGGCTTCACAGCAGGACGCCCACGTCGCTTCCCTGGCGTCAGCAGCACCCCAGCCTGCCCATGTGGATGCCCTCTCAGGGTCACAGCGCCACGGCTACGCAGCTGCACGCCAGCCCCAAGCCCAGTGTCCACAGTCTACCTCATCCGGTCTGACCTGCTACCGGTGTGGAAAGCCAGGCCATGCCACATGTGACGCTGCCAAGGGCCAGTTCTGTAGCCGCCGTGGCAAGCCAAACCATTTCGCTGCGGCGTGCCGCGCCTCGGACTCCGCCATCCAGGCCCGCACGTTCAGGGAACGCCGTCCCCACCAACACTCTGACCAGCACGCTGTCAACAGCGGCCACCATGCCATTCATTCTTTAGAGATTGGCGCAGAGCTGTTTTCTACCGACTCTCCGCCTCGCCCATCTACGGCACCCTGCCGTGAGGATGCCCGGCGCACCGTGCACGTCAACGGCATACCCCTGACTGTCTTGGTGGATAGTGGTGCCAGTCACAATATCATCAATACTGATGACCTGGCAAAGGTTGCCCCTGGTGCAGCACTTCAGCACACGGATGTGCAAATCTTTGCTTACGGCTCAACTTCACCTCTTCCTCTTCTGGGTAGCATCACCCTCTGTGTTTCCTCCGCTACCATGAGTTCGACGGCAACATTCCTCGTTGTCGCACACGCGCCACGTACCGCTGCTATCGTTGGCCGCGAGACCGCCATGCGTTTTGGCCTCATCCAGCTGGTCCACAGCATCGAAAGTCCGCAACTGCCAGGCGACCTTGCTGAGTACCACGACCGCTTCCAGGGCCTCGGCTGCATCAACGACGTAGAAGCCCATATCTACGTAGATGGCAACGCCCGCCCTGTCGCTCACGCACCATCCAAAGTGGCTGTTCACCTCCAGGAGGACGCACTCGCTGAGCTCCATGAGCAGCTCGCATTGGATGTCATCGAGCCTGCCACTGGCCCCACCCCATGGGTTGCCCGAATGGTGGTCGTGCCGAAGCGCAAGGGCAAAGTGCGCCTCACGCAGGATTTCCGTGATGTCAACGCCGTTGCGGCACGGGAACGCCATCCCATCCCCACGCTCGAGGAGATTACTTCTGACATGCCAGGGGCCACCGTGTTCACCGAGTTGGATATGAACAAGGCCTTCCACCAGATCTCACTGGCCGAGTCATCCCGTCTTTTCACCGTGTTCCACACACCCCTCGGCCTAGTGCGGTGCAAGCGACTCGCCATGGGGTTGGCTTCAGCGTCTGAGATTCTCCAGCGGACCATGGACCGTGTCCTCGCGGGTCTCCCAGGTGTTCGCAGCGTGCACGACAATATATTCATGTACGGCGAGACGGCCCAAGTCCACGATGAGCGCCTGCACGTCTGCCTGCAACGCCTACGTGCCCACAATGTTACCCTCAACCTGGCGAAGTGCCAGTTTCGCCAAACCCGCCTGGCCTTCATGTCGACTATCTACAGTCGCCGGGGCACTCAGGCTGCACCACACCACAAAGAGAGCATTGCTGTTTTCGCCACACCCAAGTCAGCTTCCGATATCAAGAGTTTCCTGGGTTTAGCGACATTCATGCGCCATTACATCCCCGACATGGCCACCAAGACGGCACCCCTGCGGAAACTCCTTGGCAAGGGTCAGCAGTGGGATTGGTCACCCGAGGCTCAGGCAGCATTCGATGCCATCAAAGCCGACATAGCAGCTGATCGGGCCCTCGCCTACTTCGACCGTACCAAACACACTCACCTTTACGTCGATGCCTCACCCGTTGGCCTTGGCGCCATCCTCTGCCAGTCTCCTGAAGCAGTCGTCCAGGATCACTCCGAGCTGAAACCAGTCGCTTTCGCAAGCCGCAGCCTGACCCCCACTGAGCAGCGTTATTCGCAAACGGAACGCGAAGCCCTCGGTGTGAAGTACGGCTGCTTGCGCTTCTCCCATTTCCTCAGCGGCGACCCCGGCTTCACGGTCCACACCGACCACAAGCCCCTTCTACAGCTGCTTCACCCATCTTCACGGCCTCCACCCCGCATTGAACGGATGGCTCTCAAGGTCCAAGACCTTCACTTCAAGCTGGTGTATGAACCTGGCCCTACCAACCCAGCAGACGTCTTGAGTCGTCACCCTCAGCCACATCCTCCCCTGCCGAATGTTGGTGAGGAGGAGGACACCGCCTATATCAATGCCATCGCGCAGTCCTCTGTTCCCAACACCCTCCTCTTGTCCGACATCCAAGGCGCAACTCGAGCAGACTCAACGCTCCAGGCCGTGCTGCTGTCACTGCAGACGGGCATGTGGGACGACAAGGCAGTGGACACCCGCCCTTTCTACACGCAAAGGCATGAACTCTCTGCCGCCGACGGTCTCCTGCTCAAGGACCATCGTCTGGTGATTCCACTGTCTCTCCGAGAGCGGACACTTCAACTGGCCCACTCCGGCCACCAAGGCATGACACGGACCAAGCAACGACTGTACACGAAAGTCTGGTGGCCTGGCATGACGTCCGCTGCGGAATCCCTCTGCCACCAATGCCTCTCCTGTCAGGCAAACACGCCAACAGGCCCATACCGGCCGGAATCCACACCGACCCCACCATCGACGGCGCCATGGCAATGGGTGTTTGTCGACCTGTATGGCCCCTTGCCAGGCGGAAGCACACTCTTGGTTGCGGTGGACCAACTGAGTCGCTACCCAGTCACTCACGTGTTCAACTCCACTCCCGCTACAGCTGGCGTACTTGCAGTGCTCCGCAGTGCGTTCGCAGCATTCGGCCTGCCAGAAGAAGTGGTCTCTGACAACGGCCCCCAGTTCCGCTCGGCGGAGTTCAACCGTTTCCTGGCCCAGATGGGCATCGCTCACCGTTGCACGCCTCCTCTCTGGCCCCAAGCCAATGGTGCAGTGGAGCGGATGAACCGCACGATCGGCAAGGTCCTCCGTGCTGCCCAACTGGATGGCCGAGATTTGCGTGCTGCACTTGACGAGTGGCTACTCGCATACCGCACCACTCCCCACCCCGCCACAGGCCTGCCGCCAGCTACCATCATGTTCGGCCGCAGCATCCGGGACACTCTCCCCAGCCTGTGCACGGCCCCAGCACCAGATGCGACCGTCACGGCGAACAAGGAGCATGCGTTCCGCGCCCGCCAATGCGAGGCGGCGAA